ATTGTTTTTATTAATACCAAGTGTCTACACGTACATTAATCTACATTAGATGATGTAATTATTATTCTTAGCTATTAGTCATGATTATTATAATGGTAATAATCTCTTACTAATGGTGTTACTAAAATGATGATCAATATTATACTAATAAATATCTATAACTAACTAAATACAGGCTATGATAAAACTGGACAACTATTAATTAATTAAACGTAGTCATCATCATCATCATCATCATCATCATCATCACCATCATCATCATTATCATCATCAATTTGCTCATCTTGTGTATCATACATTGCAGGAGCCCTGGGATCATTCCTTACAGTTGGAACCTCCACTCTTCTGGAACAGATACACGTTAATAACGTCACAATTCCCATGGTACCAACTATAGCCATTATGATGCTAAAGAGGACTGCAATGAAGATGATTATGCTGATCCCTGAGGTCGTTGGTCCATTGCCAGTTTCAGTAGGAGTTGGGAATATTGTAACTACATGTTTACAAGTATTATTATTATTATTATTATTATTATTATAATTAACTCACTGAGTTTTGTGCTGCTTGATCTATGACTGGTTGATGCTGCTACAGTAGATGATGGTGAAATGATTCTACTGCTTGTTGACACTGATTGATCCATATAAGCACCTTTAAAGTTACAAAACAGTATAATGTCTACTGATTATGTTATGACAGATGTTAGAGGTTATATATACTACAATTCTTGCAGTAGCAAGAAAAACACTTACCTCCATAAACTATCCATTGTAAGATCAAAAGAGTACAAGCTGCTAGTTTCAGCATTGCTGTGGTGAACTACTGACAGTAAACACTAGCTGGACCTAAACACTTCAAAATAGCTGGTGTGTATTGCACTATTTAATGTGCTAATAGGTGCAACAGATACCCACTTTAATCATTACTTACAGACTACAGTAAACATGTGTTCCCATTGGATGCTAACATCATAATGATAAATAATTGCAACATGTGATTATAAAGGTAAGAATCATTTATCATTTAGCTATTTTCAGTCAAAATGGCTTTCATTATTGAGAGTGGTACAAAAAGACTGCTTGCTGGATCTGTTATGACAATGTCATAAAGTTCTTCATAAACTGTCAAAAGAGCTTCCTTCTAGAAATGAGAGAGCAGTAGCATTATATGACAATAGTTTCATTATAAACCAGACCAAGGGCAAAAACGCATCCAATTCAAGAGTAGCAATGCTATATATGTGTCATTTACTTTTTGATTAAGAAAACCAATTTTGATGACATTGTCGATATTCTCTAGACCATTAATCATGAATGGATCACCTTGTGAATCACCAATTACTATCACATTAGATCTATCCTACAATTAAAGCATTGAGTACAGGAATTATGGTATAGTAATAGTAACAGTAATTAGTAGAAGGAGAATCTCCTATTTTTATAAATTTTTCTAATGTATATACATGTTTCTTTGTTGTGTAGCAAGTTTGAGTTGATTCCAATAAAAAATTTTTGAGTTATGACCATTTTTTTAAATGGGCCAATTTTTAAAAAATACCCAAGGCTATAGCCCATGGTTTTTTCTAAAAAATGGCTCCGAAATCACCCCAAATTTTTATTACATTTTCTGATACATATTGATGCCCTTATGCTGTGTAGAAAGTTTGAGTCAATTCCGACTTCAATTTTTCAAGTTACAGCCATTTTAAGAAAATGTCAAAATTCTGAAAAATACCCAAGGCTATAGTCCATGGTTTTTTCCGAAAAATGGCTCCGAAATCACCCCAAATTTTTATTACATTTTCTGATACATATTGATGTCCTTATGCTATGTAGCAAGTTTGAGTCGATTCCGACTTCAATTTTTCAAGTTACGGCCATTTTAAGAAAACGTCAAAATTCTGAAAAATATTCAAGGCTATAGTCCATGGTTTTTTCCAAAAAATGGATTCAAAATCACAAATTTTTATTACATTTTCTGATACATATTAATGTCTTTCACACACAATAAATGACAGTCAAGTGATTACCTTAAGTTTCTTGACCAGTTGAGGGTATCTAGTCAAAGAAGTGAGTCCTTTATTATAAGAATGAATGACAGGTTCAGTGAATGCTGTCACCACACTCTCTTCATTATATATCATCTTGTTACCAACCACTGAGAGATTAGCATGCTCCTTGTAAGAGGTGGCATCTAGTGCTATCAATATTATATCTAACAAATAAAATAACTTTCATAATTACGAGAATATAGTTGATAGTTATAATATCCAGAAGCAAGTTGTCATTCTGTATGAAGACAAAATTATGGCTGGATTAACCAATAAAATTGAATAAGGGAATCAATCATCATAATAATAGTTATCAGTTACCTGCTAGACCAGCTGAACAAATGGTCAGTGGTACGTCATTCACCTCAAGTAATCTAAACATATCGTCATGGTGATCCCTATGGCAACACAAATGATTGCAACTCCAAAATATAAAATATTTTACCTAAAGAAAATGTCGGATGCCTTTACCATCTCAACTAGCATGTTTTTAGTTACGCTTTGCTGAGTAATCAAATGGTGGACAGTTCTCCACCTGTTAAAACATAGTCAATAATTTAAAAGAATCCTAATTTTCCAAACAAACCATTCTTCCATTGCTTCAGTCTTTTCTTGTAGACTACGCTCACTAGTGAAAAATTATATTTAATAGTATTTCTAATATCGTTTTAATAATATTTTAATATTTTACTTACTGACAGTGTTCAATTGGAAGGTATTTTGCTTTTAAGTTCAAGGCCTATATATTAATTAACAATAATTACCATAAAAATCAAATAAATTGTAATTATTGGCTCTCAATGTCAGTAATTAACGTACCTTTTCAACGAAACTTTTAGATAATAATCCTGATGATTCCATAACTCCTTCATTAACATAATAAGAACATAATAAGTCACAAAAATTTTTGACCAAGCATAAATGTAGCTTAGAAAACAAATTCTTATTGAAATAAAAATTTCACTTACCATGAGACGTTGTTACTGGCTTCCCATTAAAATGAGGATAAGTTAATGTGTAGTCAAAATCAGACAAAACCTATGAATAAAATTAAAAATTTAATTTTTTCCCATCAGTGTTTTTTAACCTGCAACTTATGTCTCCCAGCTGTTCTCATTCTTCCTATGCAGTCAATGACAGATTCAATATCCTTACAATGAACAGGAGGCTCCTCCAGCAGCTGCTTTAAAGCAACAAATGCAGCTGCAGCCATCTTAGATTATTTTAGCCACTACACTAGTCTATCATTATGAGGTATATTTACCATGAATGAAGTATTCAAAACTCACCAAAGGAATCTTTAAATAGCACACTTTTAGGCTGTTGGTCTTAGGAATTTGTAGTTCTCAATGTATAATATAATGTCAGTGATAATTCAGTATCTTTTTGACAGCTGAATGCTGAACTAGTTAATTATGGGTGTGGTCAAACTGAAACTGTATTATAAAAACAGGTCAATTACCATTATTTCTTGTTGAGTAGCATGTACAACAAAAGGGATGTTAATATAATAATCTATTATATGATCATTACAGTGTATTGTATAAATATAAGGTGTCAATGTAGTAGTACAGTACAGTTGCAGTATCATGTGCTATAATTATTATTATATCATAGATATTCCTTCACCATCATCATCATCATCATCATCTTGTACCCATCCTTGAGCAGGCTGTTGGTCGAGAGTTTTACTTTTTGCAGGCGTAACTTTTTCTTTTTTCACTTCATGTCCGCCGCTCTTCTTGTTTCCATTAGACGATGTCACCATGATGGAGTCATCACCTAATCTAAAACCATGTGGCCATTTCTCTCCTCTCAATGGAGATGTTTTCTTGCTTCCTGTTGCATTGCTGTCGGCTGATGATGAAAGAGAGAGGTGAGAGAGTGAACCATCAGCTGTCGCTATCCCGCCAAAATTTTGATCAGGAATCGGAGGAGGCTCTTCACTGCCACTGCTTTTCTTTTTGCTTCTCTTCTTTTTCACAACTTCTTGATCGACTGTTGAGTAAACACCATCCAATTCATTGATATCTTGTACTATAGAATTCATGAATTGTGCATGTGTGAATTATAATAAGAGTTATTGAATACATTAAGATACATATACTATTACAATATAACCTCCTATTGTGGACACTCTAAAATAAGGACACCTCTATAATCAGGACAAATGGGCAAGTAGTATCAGTCCCAATACAATAGTAATGTGCATTAATGAACCTCTGAAATAAGGACAGGTTCATAATCAGGAGCTAGGGTATTATTGGGTCCCAAGGTCTCCGGAATAGACAGAATTGACTGTATTGATATATTTAGTTTATGACTTACCGTCTTCACTGGTGTAAGTAGCAGGTGTTGAAGGTGGAGCAGCTGGGGTGCTTGATCCTTTCTTCTCCTTGTTGCCTCCTCCTCCGCTTGACATGAGCTTTGAGAGTGGGTTTGAGCGAGTGGTAGGTTTGAATCCTATCTCTCCAAAGTCTGAGTTTATCTCGCTGGGAGCTGACTTCTTTCTTCTCAGTGGACGTAGAGCATTTTGAATTGACTGTGAGAACCCGCGGGATTTGTGTTTCCTAGAGCTTTGTTTCTCGCTCTCTTTAATCTCATCTACTGTTGCATACTCATGAGAGTTTTCTAATAACTGATCGTCAGGATTCTGCTTCTCAATTTCATTAGTGGCACCAGCTACATGAGGTGCTTCATCTAGTGAATAATAAAGATTAAGCATAATAAAAATTGCTAAATTATAATGCACTACACCATTACATCATGCATGCTACATTATAGTACCTTCTGGATCAATAACTTCTGTTTCTATAGGACCATCCTACACAATGGAACAAAATAAAACGCATTCCATAATTATTTAATATTTCCTTACTGGTAAAACCATTGATGGGACCCTGGAGTAAGTGGCAACAAACTCGGCCATTGCAGGATTGTTAGAGCCAAGAGCATTTGAGTAGATAGTGGCACCATTCTAAAGAAAAAGGTACTTAAATTAAGCTGCACAGTAAAAGCCGAAACACTACATGAGCTTATGATACACAACACTGTCTGTAAGATAGGCTATACTCCATTACCTTGTTCTTTTGCATTAAGTTTGCTCCATTGTCAAGTAGGAATCTTAGTACTTCCACTTCACTGTATAAATTGATAATAATTATAATAAAGTGATGATTATATTTTTACCCGGCTTCTGCTGCATCGTGTGCAGGAGTGTCTCCAATCTCATCTTTTGCAAATACCACAAGACCAGTCATGTCATTATTGACAATCCAGCGCACCGTTTTAAGCTTACCAGCAGCTGTTAAAATGTAAAAATTGTCACTTTAATCACTCTCTCTCTCTCTGTACATACTTGAAGCAAAATGTAATGGAGTCCCACCATCAGGTACAGGCTCCATGATAGTGTCAATTCCAAGCTTTGCCACAATATACTGTAAAAGAAGCTAATGCACAGAAGCAGTAAGTGTAATAGTAATACCTTCACGATGCTGGTGTGACCTGCTTGTGCTGCTGCATGTATTGGCTTCAAGTTGTCTCCAGCAGGAATGGAGATGTCACATTTTGCCGTCTCATGTAGAAATCGCATTGCATCAAGTTTGCCTTCTTGGGCACTGAAATAAACTGGAGTTGTTCCTAGAAATAGAAATAAAATGAATACTTTTATAGCTATGAAAAGATTCCCTATCCTACCATCTCCTGATACTTGATGTAAAAGTCCTTTATTTTTGCTGCTAATCAACTTCAGAGCTTCAACATTACCTGTTGATATGATACAATTAATGACAGTTGTATAAACTTTCATTTCCATTCACCAGATGATGCAGCAACATGAGCTGCAGTGATGCCACTAATATTGATGGAATCAGCAGCTTTGATCCCAAGCTCAGCCAAAAGCAACTTGACAACTTTATTCTGTTGCTTCGATATTGCCAACAGTAAGCAAGTAAAACCTATGATTAGTTATCATTAAAATTCTAACAGTTACTATGCATATAGTACCTGTTTTATCTTGTACGACACAAAGTGAGTCCTTTGTGCTTCTGTCAGAAGCAGCCATCATTACCTACACATTAAATGGTAGCACCATGCATGCATGCATAAAATTGTGAGAAAATAACTTATTAAATATCGTACCTTCACACACTCAAGATGACCAAGAGCTGCTGCAACATGAACTGGTGTCTCTCCATGATCAGCTTGATCTAGTACTGACAGGTTAGTGAACTTTAAGAGCCACCTATCATGGCATTAATTATCATGCTAGCTGCAAGGTGTTTCTTACTTTAAACAATCAATTCTATTGTTTTTAGCTGCTATGTGCAAAGGAGTGGCGGACATTTTATCGCAAGAAGGGACGCCTGCGTCACTCTTCCACACAAAGATGGCCTCAAGAGCTCCAAGATTTCCCTCAAAGGCTGCCTTGTGGGCTGGAAGATCAACATAGGCAAATTCAGCAAACTCTCCACGCAGATTATCCTCAGTTCCAATGCGTTTTTTATACTGCTTGATCCCAGCTTCATTGAGGTAGCAATAGCTCGGGCCTTCCTCTCCTTCTCCTCCAGGATAAACAGACTCCATGATTCTCTCTCTTTTCTTTAAAAGTTGTTTGCGTCTCAAAGTGAGCCCCACCCTCGAGTGCAATCAACTCCCACGCAGCATCACGTGATGCTTCAGCTACACCTACACAAACATGGAGGCCGTTTGGAAGTATTTCAAGGTTTGAATTCATCAACGCATTGTTTGTATTAATGGCCATCTTTTCAACAAATAGGTCCAATTGCCTGCTTATTTAAAAGCCGTCCCGTTGCCAAAGACTTTTCAAGGTTTCTTAAACCTAAACAGGGAGGAATGGCTTGAGCTGCTACCACTTCTCATCTTGGTCTCCATCTTGTTTTACCTGGCCCTGTCTCCACTTACAAGTAAAGACTTTAAAATATTCTTTTAAAAATAATAATTGTCTCTCTTTCTCCATTTTCCAGGTTTGTTTTTTACTAAGAAGAAGAAACGGCCTCACATAAACACAAAAGTTGACAAAGACAAAGAGAAAGTTGCAACAGATTTCCCGATCGAGGACCTAGGGGATAAGAAAGTTTTCTGTCGCTGTTGGAAATCAAACAAAGTGAGACAGAAAAAAATTTGTAGATGTGTAAAATTTTATGGGAGACCAGCTCAAATTGTGCACAAACAGCAGCAGTCTTGTTATAAATTTTTATTTTATTTTTAGTTCCCTCTGTGTGACGGCTCACACAATCAACACAACAAGGAGACTGGGGACAATGTTGGGCCACTTATACTTAAATCCAGTGAAGGGACAGGAGGGAAGAAGGAAGAGAAGAAAGCTAAAGTCAAGAAAGAAGAATAGGAACATGATGGAGACACAGTTTAACATGCGCTGCTGTTGTAATAAAATAATGTTTCATTGCTAGGGACAATAATAATAGTAATAATAATGATAACTTTGTTTTAGTTAGTATGATCCCTTTATCATTATTACTATTATTATTAAAATTTTAATTTGGCAATTACTGAATCTTATTTCAATTGTGACGTACATATACTTGACATTCTCTGATCATTAATGGACATGTATAACATAGTTAAGTACAAGGTTCAACTTCAATGATGTACACAATGTCCGTAAGAGTGATAAAATAATAATAATAATACAAACAGGCAGTAGTTAACTCATGATGAAGCAGTGTCTGTGAAGCATATTGAAAAGTGGGTGGAGCCAATAAGAGCAATGCTCCTCCCACTAGGATGCCACTGCAGTTTCTGTATAGCAATAGGAGGATCAGCTGGTACAACAACGCTAACCACACCAGCTGGGGACCAGAGATAAAGACGACCATTATTAGTACAAATGGCTAGTCTTGATTGTATAGGATCCCATTGAAAGTCTCTGATAGGATTTATGTGAATAAGTAATGCAACCAGTGATGCCTTTATGCTCCATATCCAGAGGGTGGTGGGGACATTCTCATTATAACTGACAAAGTAGCTATTGTCTTTACTGAAAGAGATTGACTTGATACCTATCTTAGGATTGGCTTTAGTCGGGTCTGGTTTTATCGACAGTAAAGTGACAGGTGGTTCTTGGGTCTCGTATTTACTCTGTACTGGGAATACACTGGTCGTTAGTAGTGATAGTGTCGCTGGATCAACTGGTCCAACCTGTTTCTCGACTTCCCGATATATGGCCACGCCTACCTGAGACTCTATGATTCCTGGGTGATCCAATTCCGCTATCGTCTTCCAAGTCATGTGATTAAGTAGGCGGAGTTTCTGATCGTACCCGCCGATGGCAAGAAACTGACCAGTGGGTGACCAAGAGACTGAACGAAGGCCGAGACTATAATGATGAGGCTCTGAATAAGGAGTGTAAGAGGCGATACGGCGACCGTCCAGCGAATAAAGAAATAACTGATAATAAAGACAAGAATCCCAGGTACAGATGACACTGCCATTAGGTGACCAAGAGAGACCAATGAGGTCCTTAGTATCAAGCGGAAAGTGATGGAGCAGGCTCCATTTCTCTGTGTTGAATATACTGATATGATCTTTGCACTCTCTTCTCTCTGCTAACGCCATGTATTGACCATCAGGACTGAACTCTAACCCGCCACGAGTTAGTTTCGGATACTTGATGTAAGAGACTGTTTTATTCACTAGCGACCAAAGGGTGAGGCGAAGGTGAAAGTCAGACATTGTGAGGACGTGGCGACTGTCAGCTGACCAGTAGCAGCCAATCAGACGAGAGGATCCTTCGTCAATCTTACAGTTCCACTCTGGCTGATCCATAGACCAAATCTAATAAAAGAAATGAATCCAATTAATGAATCAATGAATATTAATGAACTAATGAATTTAAAAAGACCACATTGGACCAAATTTTGCCGAAATTAAAAAGGAGAGAATTCTTCATTTTTATTACATTTCCTGATGCATATACATGTTCTTATGTCGTGTAGAAAGTTTGAGCTGATTTCGATTAAAATTAGATTTTTTATGAATTTTAAAGTTGTTCCAAATTCGGGTAAAAGTCCCTGTACTATAGTACATGGTCTCGGGCCAAATTTTACCAAAAATGAAAAGGAGAGAATTCTCCATTTTTATTACATTTCCTGATGCATATACATGTTCTTATGTTGTTTGAGCTGATTCTGATTAAAATTAGATATTTGATAAATTTTTAAAGTTGCTCCAAATTCGGGTAAAAGTCCCTGTACTATAGTACATGGTCTCGGACCAAATTTTGCCAAAATTGAAAAGAAGAGAATTCTCCATTTTTATAATTTTCTCCAATGCATATACATGTACTTACGCTGCGTAGAAAGTTTGAGCTGATTCTGATGACAAACTCTCAAGTTATTAGCATTCAAAGTTACAATAATGAAACCACGCCCCTTAATTAATGCTCCCATATATGGTCATGCAATAATTAAAGCAAGAAAACTACAAAGAGGTCCCACCTGCACGATCCCTCTCTTGTACAGTGCACACATGAGGAGACTAGAATCAGGAGACCACTCCATATCCTGGACAGGGTCGAGGCAGGTGTGTATATGTTGTATCTCCAGTGTACTGGAGTCCCTGATGACCACGCGGTGCTGGGACGAGGAGGCGAGGAACAGACCGTCTGGAGAGAAACGGACGAGATGGCGACTGGACTGGAAGCTCTCCGAGAAATTCATTTTTCTGTTTGAACTTGACGAGGAACTTGAAGTTTTTTTGCAAGATTTATTCCGCCAAAAATAATTTTAATTTCATTATAGCCACGCCTACATTAGTCTAACATCTTCCTCCCACGCAAGGGTGTGGCTCACTCCTTGCTGCCAATTTTAGGTGGTGCTAAAATTCTTGTTGACTCACTTTGCTTGTTTCTACGGAGCAGAAAACAAGACAAATGAGACTCCAAGCTCTCTGCTTGTTTTTAATCAGTGCCAGGATCATACATGTAGAGGGTAAGGGAAAGTGAAATCAGTTTCAAAATGGACTCTTCCTTCTTTTACAGCTCAAACCACTACTCCTACTGTGTCCTTACTCTCTGGAGCAATCAGGCTCGCTAGAGACGGGGTTCCTTCCAGCTCCTACTCCTCAGGCAGGGTTCAAGTGTATGGTATTGCCGCCGCTAATTCAGCCTCTAACAGGTGGGGAAACATTTGTCGTTTCACCTCATTTGGCGCAAGTGAAGCTGACGTGATTTGTCACCAGTTAACGTACACTGGAGCCTCTTCTCACTCTTATGCTGAACTTGACTCGTAAGGACCACAAGCAATATATATACAAACACACACACACCTACAGACATAAAAACTAAAACTGTTGTTGTATTATCACGTATTTACTTATACTTAGCAGCAATTGTCAACTTTACTGCATCTTGTGTTTTATTTTTATAATCTCAACACAAGTTGAACTTTTTGAGCTCTGCTCTAAACCTCAGATGTTTCATTCATTGATTGTTTCTGTGACTACATAAGATGTGAATATTTCTCATTCCTTTCTCTCAACAGGTTTGGTAATGATAACTATACTGCACTACTGAATGACGTATCGTGTTCCAACGACAATTACTTGATGCTATTTCAGTGTACAGTCAGTACTACAGTCAGCACTTTATGTACTGCTAGAGAAGATGTATCAGTAACATGCTGTAAGTGAATCTACATCTCTTCATTAAGGACACCATTGGCAGCCCACACCTACAGAAGTGTTATTATAGAAGCTGCACTGTGCACATGTATATACATGTATAATACCATTTGTTTGTATGACTGGCTGTTGCCTATCAATGATGCAATCACATTTATTGTTATTACTTCATCAAAGAGTATTGAATTAACATTGTTTACATAATCAATTTCCTTCATAACAGATTCTACCCGTATATGGGACGACCCGTACAATGGTATGGTCCGTCTATCACAGGGTGACTACGTGAACACTGGTCTACTGGAGGTGTACTGCAAGGGAGAGTGGGGGACTGTGTGCGACGATACTTTTGGAGCAGAGGAAGGAACTGCAGTCTGTAGACAACTAGGATACAGCAGTTACTATAGATACGGACATTTGACACTGTAAGATATCCATTCATTTATGTATTGTCATGTAGTGGGAATGGTGTAATTTTCTCGAATTGTCAATACATATTTTAATTTTCTTTTAATCCTTTCCTGCAGTGTTGGCAGTACAGAGCAGCCCATTTGGTTGAATGAGCTCAACTGTGTCTCTGGCGACAGGTGCCTAGCCGACTGTCAGAGGTGTCCCGGGTCTGCAGTTAGCACTTGTGTCCATGCACAAGATATTACAATCACATGCTGTGAGCTACCATAATAGTTATTACCAATTATTTATTAATAGTTATTACCAATTATTTTATTAATCTCTGCTGTTCATTTACAATAGATTCCCCAACTGCTTCTGGCAGCTCAAACACAATTGGACTTTGCAAATGTAAGCTATTGTGTTACTATTTTTAGTATCTCATCATTACATCATACAAATAATGCCGTACAAGTGTGTTGAGAATTTAATAAAGCAGGCAAATAGACACCATTAAAGTTGCCATGATTATTGGACATTATACTTTGTACCTATCTATAATGGCTTTACATTATGAATAGACAGTTTAACTTATGTTAAATTCTTTCCTCACAGATAACAATAATGCCGTCATTATTGGAGCAACATTTGGTTCTGTAGGAGGTCTGATAATTATAATAATTATTATTGTACTGATAATTCGTGACAAAGAAAGGAAAGGTGAGACTCACATCAGACGTGACTTCAAAGCATGGAAGGCAAGAATGAGACCTCGCTGGCTGAAAGTTAAGTTGTGTTGTCAAAAACTCAAATGTAAGCGAAGACCCCGCCCACCAAGAGCAGTACCCACACATCAACCAGCACCTGCAGCAGTTGAGCTTACCAATCAATCCTCACCACCTCAAGCTAATCCACCAGCAGCAGCAGCACAAAGTGCACCTCCACCAGCACCACCACCAGCAGGACAGGGGGTACCTCCACCCTACAGTTCCAATTATCCATATCCAGAATACCCACCTCAACCTTATGGTGCTTATCCTCCTCCTCCTGGTGGTGCCTATCCACCTGCTGCTGGTGCCTATCCACCTGCTAGTTACCCTCCACCAGGTCCCAGCTATCCTCCTGGACCTGGTGATGATGATATGAGAAAGGACGAGCATTTCAGGAAAGAAGAGCCGCCATCTTATAATGCTAACTGGTCCCATCCCCCGACCTCATGAGAACACAGTACTATGATACAAGGGTTGTATTGTCAGTGCTAAATTCTGTCTTTTTATTACATTTTGCGATTGCTTTATTTATTTTATTTTATGTTTCATTGCCTTTGCTATTCTCTTATGTTATGTTGCTCTACAAAAAACTGGTCTTTTTAATCCTCTTTTAAATAAATAATATAAATAATAATAATTCATTCGGCAATTATAGTTCACAAAAAAGTTCGATACAAAATTAGACGTAACCAAGTGATGACCCCAGCCACTTCTCAGCCTCAGATAAAGTCATTCCTTTACGTTTAGCATAATCTTCAACCTTTTGGAGACAAGAGAGAGAGAATTCACAAACATGAATTAATTATAATGAAATTGGTAGTGTTGTTAAAGTAGATTTTGTAAAACCAGCATGTTTAAAAGGAAAGGAAGATCAAATATTTAAATGATAATAACTCAAAATGCTCACACATGTAATTATACATTCATATATAAATTTGACACTATAATTGAA